TTGATCACATGAGGAAAATTAAAACAAACTTTTGGAATCGAATTAATCAATCTGATATAACATATATACGTCTCTTTTTGTTACTTTGGCATGCTACGAAACCTTGAAATATATAGGAGTTGACCAAGTTAACTGAAATCCACTCCAACGTTGAAGAGTCTACATTCGGATCATATGTGGGAGTGTAAAGAACAAGCTTCGATCTTCACATAGCTACGTGCAACGCAAATCAAGATAAGCATTACTCAAAACCAAGAGCTAGCTAGCGTTACGATCACACTAAAGAATGCTCCATATCAGTCAAAAAGCAACGGCACGCACATATAATATGGCGAAATTAAGTTACAAGACACTTGGACACACAATATACAGATTGACTTATGAACGACATCCCTGCTAATTAAAATGTGAAGGGTATAAGAGAAGAAAGTGATAGAACTTTGTCATCCAATCAACGCATAATTTTGCCATGTACTGGTGCTGAGGGAGACGAACCGCTTTTTGAGCAGTGATTAGAGGCCTTTATTATCTTTATTCTATACTACACTACCTTTAATTCGGGATATTAATCAAACACGCTTACTTGGACTATATTCTCGTATTTATTATTAATCTCTTGACAATGATACAGTAATTTCCAAATATGCAACTTTCTCCACTAACATCAATTTAACTCGGTTTTTATAGGGAATTGAAATTTCATATGTCGGTTCAATATCTGTGTTTCTTTATATGCTTGCATTGTAAATTATATAGAGTAAAATATATCCCTCCTTATTACCAATTAGTACACCAAGAAAAAATTTAAGCAAGATTTTGAGAAAATTACACCATTTTAAAATCCTTAACATAAAACTAGAGCCGTAATTCGAGCCAAGCTGACGGGCTAGCCCGAATTGGCTCGAAAAATTTTAGGGCTGGGCTTAAAAAAAAGGTATTTTTAATGTTCGGGCCTATTCGGGCCGGCCCGAATACCCGAATAAAAAGTTATATTTTTTAAAATATATATAATATAATAAATATTAATTAATTTTTTAAATTTTAGATCATTTTATACTAAAATAGCATATATTTGAGTCATAGACATCATTTAAGTATTAAAAAATATATTTTATATTTTTTATAAAATAAAATAATTAATTTTAAAGTAAAAAAAATAATTAAAATAATTTTTAAAATTAAATTCGGGTATTTGGGCCACCCAAAGCCCGAAGAAATTCAGGTCGGGCTTGGCTATTCGGGCTTTTCGAGGAGTCGGGCCTGTTCCGTTCGGGCTTATTCGAGTCCGGCCCGCCCGAATTTTCGGCTCTACAAAAAATGAAATTTTTTTTTTGTTCTTAATAAAAGATGAAGTTAGAGAAGGTAATTCTTTTTTTAATTTTTACCCCTCATTTGTTTGTTGTTTGAATTTTTAAATAATAATTTATTATGATTATTAAGTACAAAAAAGAATAAAATTGAAAATTTTCATATTTTTATTTTATAATTTTAAAGTCATAACTAACTTAACTCGTCTTATATTAAGTATTGTAAAGGAAGTATTTGCTGTTAACTTATTCATTAATAATGACATGGTACGCGGACAGAAGATACAGTTTCCATAAAAGAATAAAAACGGTCTCCATACAAGAACTTGGTGGAAAAGCCAGCAGACGGCTAATACAAAGTAAAATAATGAAAAAAGTGATGGGACTAAAAAACAAGAAGGGTATCAAATTAAAAGTCTCGATGCAAGGTGGTGGTGGTCTCGTGCGAGAAAGAATCTCCCTTTTGTTTATTTCAAATATACCCGGCGCAACAGCAGGATAATCCATGTGCGTCTTCTGTATTTATTATGTTCCTCTCCTTCTCTTGTTACGTTCAATTCATCCATCATCATCATTTTCTTCATCACTCACACATGGGAAACTGTTTGATCAGAAACAACCAGATATCAGCACACGACGATGACATCTACGATGACGCAGTAGTTGAGCAAATGAAGACATCTGATTCCTCGTTCAAGTCTGAACCTGCAGCAGCAATGCATGAAGAGAGCATGAAGAAGAAGAAGAAGCATAAGAAGGTAAGTTTTGAATTACAGAATAAAGATGAAGAAAGAAATGGTAAACAGATTCGCAGCAGAAGTGGGTCTGTGAGGATAAGATTGGTGGTGACTCAGGAAGAGTTAAAGAGGATATTGAGCTCTGAGAATGATACTCAGCAAACTTCTCTTGAGCAATTACTGAGTTCTGTGAAACTGGGAGGAAGCAGAATCTGTGAGGTTACTGGAGATGATGATGGAGCCATGAATGCTTGGAGGCCAGCTTTAGATAGCATCCCAGAGGATATCAGTCAATGAAGTAGTGTGCGATAACTAGTCACAGAAAATCTGACTCTCTTGTGAACAATGACAATCTTTTTTCAGTTTTTGTTTAATGTAGGATGGAGTATATTTGTACTGGCTCCTCGCCAATGATGAACTAGCTCCAACTCTTGACTAGTAGAGAAATGTAAAAGGGGCCCTTGTGACTTTCAATAGGTTCATGGTTTCTGCGTTCTTCAAAATTGAACCCTTCTTTGTTCTGGCAACCGTTTTTCTTCTCTCAAATTTGAAAAACATTACTCACTTCTCTAATGTTCTCATGGACATGTAAACTTTTTGATGTGATTTTCTTTTATTGGTTATGGGAATTTAGGAATTTTTTAATTAGAAACAATCGTGTTATATGAGTGAACATTAAATATGAACACCTCTTTAGCAGAGATTTAAAATTTAGTTTTTTACGATATGAGGGATTAATTTCTTTCATTAAACCCAATCCTGTTTGCTTATGCAATTTTTTTAGGGTAACTTCTACCAATTATTAAATTAGCCAATACACAAAACAATCCCTCCTATGCCACCGTGGTTAGAGTAATTGAGAGAGTTCCATCTGCAAAAAGATTGAGTCATGACCTAAGCCAATAAAAAAGGAGGAGGATCCGAAACAGAGATTTTAAAAGGCTCAATATATGATTCAACTCTAAGAGCAATCGCTAATGACAGACAGTTTTATTTTTTGTAATTTTTTGTGGATTATGGAGTGAGTGAAAAGTACATTACTTATGAGGAAAAGATGATTTTTCTCGATCAAGATCACAACGACATTAGACGGTGAGTTCAATATTTGTTTGTTGAATTTTTTCTATATTGAGTAGAGTCTTGCTTTTCCATTCCATGGACAACAAGAGAGAAGACAAACTTGACCAAAAACAAAACAAGGGGTTAGAGAATGTATGTGCAGGGCCCAAATAGGCCCATGACTATTAGCAACCCATCCTATAATGCATTATGAGAATTTGATCCCAGCACGAGGGTATTTCGATCACAGAAAATATCTTCCCATGAAAATTCTTAAATTCCAAAGGGTTTCTTCTTCTCCTTCTTTTTCCCTTGAAAACATGGCCACAAATAACCATTCAAAAAAAAAGAAATCAAAACATGTCTTGTCTCGTGATGATTTGGCACCTGAAGGTGAATCGTCAAAAATTAAAATATAAAATTGTCATCTGGTATCTAATAAATAAGTCAATCTGCACGTTTATTAACTTTTTTAAACATGTAGTTAAAAATAATTATCCAATTTCAGAAAGGTTTGGAAGGATGATTTCGATGGAATTTGGTCTTTCTTCATTGCACCAAAGCAAGCCTTTTTAAGTTTTCCCTTTTTGGTCCCAGCTCATCAGGATAATTCTGTCTTGCCCAACAAATCCTTGTATAATCTAAAATTTGATCAAATTAATTTATTCATTCATTTAACTAGAGCCTCCCATAAATATATTTTGGCGCGCATATAAATATTTAAAAATTTTATTATTTCATCCCGATCAAAGAAGTGCAATAAAACAACAGCAGAAGCAATTGAATTCGTATCTATGTTGTATAATGACTATATTTTTATATGTGAAAAAACAATAGTAATTAAATTAAGTCGAGGGAACTCAACCCCCCTTAAACAAGATAAGATTTAAACCTTGTGCGTGAAAAAATCATTATTTGGTTATCCCTCAAAAATTTATTCAAACTACATTTAAAATATGTTTTCATCAAATCCAATAAATAGTCTGATTTTAAAGTAGACTTTTGTCATATAAAAATTGAAAACCAGATATCTCAAGTAGACCTAATATTAATACTTATAAGTGATTATGTGACCTTATAATATTATCATATATGGTTATAAAAAAGGAAGGGGAAAAAAAACAGAGAAGAACGATGCTATATGGCTTTTTTTAATTAAAAAAACACTTTTTGGGATGCAGTCGTTTTTTAATCCTTGTTGGCTGAAAGCAATGCGTGTGGTTGAAAAATCCGAGAATGACTATGAATGATTAGAGGCTAAATTAAAGTTAATTTATATAATTAATTTGATAAGATTTGATGGGGTGTAGTGGCGAGCAACAGAGAAAATGGGCAAAAATAGCAAAATATTAAAAACTGGATCAATCATTAATTTAGTAAAACACTGATTTAAACTCAATGGTCAAGATCATGATCAAATCAATCATAAACAAAATATTTTATTAATTCAATCAAAATAAATTACTGTTTTGTTTTGTTTTTTCAGTTGAATATTTGGTTTATTTGGATTGGTTTTTTTAATTTCTGTTAAACTGGATATTGTGTTTTTCTTTTAACATGCTTTAGTGTGTTAGGTTGTATCAGTAAGTTTTTTTGAGCATTTTTTTGTTTTGGTCATTAGTGTGTGTATTTTTTTTTTTGTAATTAATAAGATTGACTCTTTTTTTTTTTATATAAGAAAAAACTGCTCAGATTGTGCTTTTTTTTTTTTTTTGAAATGAACCGAGCGAGTTGATTTCAATACTGTGAAAAAAGAGTTTTGGCAATGGGCCCAAACGACACGCGTCACGTTTTTGCAAAACCCTATTTGGTTTGTCTCTGTCCTTTTCCCTCCCGCGCCTCTCCCCAGCTTCGAAACAAAATCCCATCTCACAAAGTCACATGGCTTCACTCATCCCTCTCCCTCCACATGTTTTCCCGCCTCTATCTATTAAAATCCCCCAACCCCATCTCTCTCCCTCATCTCATTCTTCCTCTCTCTCTCTCTTCCGCTCTCTCACTTCTCAATTTTAGTCCTTCTTTCTCTACAATGATCAGAACTAGAGGTCTTCAGTTGCCCAGAGCTCATAGTTTTCACAAGTACCTTAAACCCGGAGCCCTCGCCCGCATCCGTGACTCCCGAATTACTGCTCGATCGCACCGCCTTAGCTTGCTCTGCCAGATCTCTCTTCGCCCCCCCTCAACGCCGTCGTCCCCGCGTTCAACCGATGCTCAGTCTCAGGTCAACGTTGCCGAGGGCTCCCCTTGCTTTGCCGGGAGGACCTACGGTCCACGTTGCCCGCAACGGAAGAAGCTCGCCGCCGCCAAGTACGTGTTGTTTGTTACCGCTGCTCCTTCCAATCTAGCCCTGAATTCGCCCCATCTCATCGCCGATTCTTTTATCAATGACGTTGTTGCTGCTAATTAATGGTGATTGTTCCTTCTGTTGAAAAGTTGAGGCAATTCTGTTGTACAACGCAGAGCAGTCTAGATTTGTAGATGTCCGTTCCTTCTGGGTACTTCGAATTATGTGGGAAAAAAAAAATTTACTCAGATAGGACTGAGAGTCTGAAATCAATAATAAAATTACAGGAGTCGCAATTTTGAATTTTATGCCAAGCTTTTCCCCTCAAGTTCATTTATGGCCTTGATGATTGTTTATATGCGATTATTAGATTTGGAATTTGGATTGAATGGTCGTTGGATTGAGCACATAAATCTGATTTGAAAGCAAAGAGGCAAAATGCTACCTCCTATGGTCTATCTGGATGTGTTTAATCATGAATATACTTTCCGAAGGTGTTTACTGTTTGGGAATGCAACAGAACAAGCAATTACTAGTTTTAACATAAACTTCCATAGTTTAATTTTTTTTTTTTTAAAGCCTTCTAATCCAGGGTGTGTTTGGTTGGGGTTTTTGGACCTCTCATTTGGTTGACATATTAGAGAGGAGGGGAGGCACGATTTACGCTCCCTTCCCCTCTTCCCCTGCCATAAGTCCGTTTAATAAATAAGATTTACAAAAGAAAAAAAAAGATATTATACAATGAGATTGATTGCTCAAAGCATAGTTTCCAAATGAATCAATATCAATGTGATTAACGATTAGAAACAATATATTATTACCCAGAACAATGAAATAATATATAGATACATGTGCATATATAATTATATATCAATCCATGATTTATGTACTATAATGTTGTTTTAATATATTTTGAGTACTATGAAATCTCATCCAACCCATTAAGCATGTATATTTATGGACAGTTTAATATAAGAAGTACAAACGGATTGAACCCAAATTCTCTTTTAATTAAATGGGCAGAATTTGAGTATTGCCTATTCAAGATGCCGAGCCTAAAAATGAAAATGACTCAGTTTGGCCTGTTTCGATGTTTCCATCTCCAATTCTTATCTGCACAAAATTTAGACAGAAATTTGTATAACTATCATCATATTTCAATAGTCCACCTTTAAAATAACCCAAGACAGAAAGGACGTGGAGGAACAAATCTGAAGGAATAATAGCATCAGATCAGAGGTCCCGCAAATAAGCTCGTTGCAACCTGCAGCTCCAGGTAGTCACTTGCGAGTAGCAATAGCAGCAGATCCCTGTCTGAGCGGATTGTAGACACTGAATTCACCGAAATCCCTTCTACCACTGGCAAATATATTTTGTCCGTAATCAAATCCTTGGAACAAAGGGTTAATAATAATTCAGTTGCTACACATCATACTATAAGTGCAGCATGAATAACAATCTAATGGCAGTCGAATAGTAAACTAAGGAAGTTTCTGAGTTTTAGAATTTTATAAGAACAAAACAATCAAGTCAGAAACATTTTCAACAGCAACAGGGTAGTTTCTGAGTTTTAGCATATTGTATATTCCCACAATTGCACGATGAGGCAGATAAACCTCAATACTCTGAACCTTTTTGGTTTTCCAGAACCTCCATACTTTGAACTAATTAACTAAATGCTCAGCATGCATCAATTATGCCACATCAACAATTTATGCTACTAACTAAGCAAACAAACACTGTCTAATCATTAGCATACCTGTGATTTATGTCCCAGCCAGCAGGTAGAAACCGTGGTTTGACAGCTTCAACAAAAACTTGTCTCCATCTCTGACAAAACTGACGAATGCCATCCTCGCCGTATTCCTTCAATAAATGTTCAACAACTTGCTTCCCATGTGGTCCGTGTCCTAAGAGTGACAGCTTTGAATTATGTTTCACTTGAGCGGACTCTTCATCTCTAAAAGATAAGTCATCGCTTCCATTTGGAGCCCTTTCGCTTAGACAACTGTCATCAGCATTTACAGCAGCACTTAGGTCATTAGAATCTGAATTTTTATCAGCACTTGCATGTTCAGCTCCATTAACTCCTAGATCAGAAGATACTGTGCGGTTTCTGACATCATCCTTTACTATAATAAGTTCTCTACCTAATCCATTGCTTGTTGCTTTATTTGCAGATGAACCATCTAGAGCATTAAAATTTGATGTGTCCCCAACCCCAATTGTTGGCGTGCAATCACCTTGATTTTCATATACTGTCTCCACAGCAGTACCTCTTACTGAATGCTTAAATGAATATCCTCTCTTCTTCTCAAATCGTCTTCTCTCATGTGGACTCATGCCAACTAGCAAAGCTCTCTCTAAATCTTCTTCAGATATGTCCCTCCCTCCATAGTACCTCTTCACAGTCTTCAAACAAAATCACAAATATGACAAATACCAATGCTTATGGATTAGACTTAAAAAAGCTGCTCAAGAACTTTTGCAAACAATGACAATCAGTTCTTAACTATAGAAATCCAGGAAAAAAGATAATCTAATTTAGAGCCCATGTTTGAACACTTCAAAGACCATGTGCCATCATGTCAGGTCTGTGACAAACACGAATCTTACTGAACACTTACAGACAGAAATAAGATCATACCTCAGTCAGTTCATCACGGCGATTGGGAGGCATTCTTGGTCCATGGCGCAGAAGAGCCATGGCTGCTGTTCGCAACTGTAAGGGAGAAACACCTCCCTCTTCAAAGGCTACTTCAGATGCTTGTCCTGGATCGATTACCCTCTGAACATAGAGAGGAATCCCAAATTCAGCTGCTATCTTTCTCTTGTATTTCTCTGCAGCAGCATGAGCAACTTCATGACAGTCCACACAAAGCAGGACAATATCATGAGAACGATGGCTTTTCAAATGCTCAGGAAAATGTATTCTATAGCACGATGGGATTATCCGGTACCGCAAGTAGTGATTTCCTTCACCACAGCCAACACATATGTTTTTCTTGCTCTGGATATAAAAATCATTGTCTTCATCCTCTGGGCGACCTTTTGGTTCAAAAAGAAGCATTATAGCAGGTGGATCGTCATCAATTAGTTTTCCCAGATCCCGATTCAGATACCTGTAAAATAGAACATTAATCTGCGAAAAAAAAAAACCCCCACTTTTACAAATAAAACAGAAGCAAGTGAAAAGTGCACTTACCATTCAAGCTTCCTCCTATCACAGTAACAAAGCAGCCGCCCATCATTAGCATAGATCCGACAATTATGATAAACAGGAGATTTACAGGAGAATTTCTGAACAAACAAATCTCGAGAAGCCTTCCGAGAAACTTGTTTCGAGTTTTTTACACTATGATGTTTATAGGCTATCATAGGTCTCGGATTACTGCTAACCAACAAAGAATAATTAAATAGAGAAATGGGACAACTCCCATTTGGACCAAGGCACTTCTGAAGAATCACTGAATAAATATCTTCAGTGCTAGCTAAATTGTCTGTAAGTAAATCATAGAAATCACTAAGGTGGCTACCAACAATAGGAGATGGAGAAGAGAAGAAAGAATTGACACCCATTTCTATATTGATATCAGCCTGAGCTATGCCATTGCATATTTCAGAGTCACTTGTTGGAGGCTTATTTGCCAAAGCAACAATTGCCTGGTCTGATAATACATATTTCAAGCTCTCATCATGGACACGAGCCTGTAAAGATGAACATACGACAAAACAATCAGCCTATATGCAATTTCCTTATGGAATACCTTTAAACTCTACATTAAAACATAGAACTCAAGAATTATGAGCCTCTTCATGAGAAATAAAACTTAATGCACTAATAGAAGATTAATATCACAACCACTGCAACCTGGAAATAGCAAAGTAACGTTTTTTCACAAAATGAAATATCAAAGTAACTATATGAATAAATAAATATATTTTCTCATAAAAATAAGTCAAATACATATAAAATTCCAGGAACTCCACAGTCAAAGCAAAATCAAATATTATTTCTGTTATACAAGAAAAACGATATGGAGATTATGCCTGGGTGGTGGCAAAAGATGATGCTATCCCTATTGATCAAGTCAATCAACAGACCTTGTTTTAGAATATATATATATATATATGTATGTATGTATGTATGTATTCATTACATGATGCGCAAGTGAATCTGCCTAGGCCAATTAAATTATTTCAGATATTATTTTTTAATACTCTACCTAAGTAGCATCAAAAGGATTTGATGTGGGACAAAACTCCTTGAGAGAAGTATTTGGTACGGAAACATACAGACAGTGACACTAATTGAGGCTTAATGGCTCAGCCAAAAGCAGACATCAGCATATGTAAAATTACAATGAATATATTACTTAGTTTTCCATATTCTTCAGAGGCTAAAGAATGTAACAAGAGAAATTTAAGCCTAATTGTTTATATACTAATTAACAACATTCATAAATTTTCTCTAATTAACGATCAGATTGTTCTTAATAAATTTAAGATAAATTTTAGCATATCAAAGGCAACCTCAGCTGACCATGGTAAACCCCTTTCCTACCTCATTATTAGATTACTCTGAGGTTCACTTTTGACTTTGTCTATTGTAGTAATAAGATACAAACAAAATTTCATGGAGAATCCTGAAATCTCTTTGACCACATAGCATAAACTTCTGCTCTGTCTCCTAATTATTTCAAGCATTTAATTAAACTTAAAACAGAGTCGAGGTATACTGATCTTTAAAGTCGGAGAACCATTCTTAAATTGTAGCCACGTTTCAGAAGCATTTACAAATTTTAACTTACCATCACATCTCTCCATGCACATAGTCGCCTCACAAAATTCTGAAACTGAAGTTAGAATAAGAAGTTAGTCTGTAAGAACAATATAGCAAACTATAGAGACACTACTTCAAGCTTGTACCAGAAGAATCAAACCTGGGTTTCACTGGAAACTGGAGAACTCTCACCACCCACATATCGTGAAAATAATGACAACGCAGCAGATTCCCCAGGAGAAGCTTCAATCTCTTTTGTGAAAAGTTGCAAACAAGTCATGTTGGAACGTCGACTAGCCTCGTGAAGAAAATGGAATTTGTCATCGGAACCAGAGTTTTCTGATACAATAAATTCAGAATTTTGGTCCAACCAATTTCAGAAAGGTAAGTCCTAAAGAGTAATCAAGTAGACAGTGTAAAGGGAGGCTCGTTAGCCAATGCAACATGCTAATAAGCCTAATATTGTATGAAAGAATAAAAAAAGACATCTTGGACTTCTACTTCTTTTTTTTTTTTTTTGGTGGTCTCATCCCTCACAACATCAAACAAGATGGCATACCACCGTCCAGCTGTTTGAGCTCAGTGATCAAACAATTTGCAATATATAACAAATAGTGTGCATCTGTCTGTGCATAATGTATCATTGCTGCTGAGAGGGGACGTTGTCTCCAGTCTTCACGCTGCAATTAAATTTTGAAAAAAATAAGAAAAAAATGAAAAAGAAGAAGAGACAAAGAAGTAGCTAGGAGAAGCAAGCCAAGACGATAGCCAATATAGTCTAAGTAGCCAAAAAATTTTCAAAAACGGAAAATAGTCCTTGTGCCTATCCATAAAAAAAAAAACTGAGGTTAAACTATCTTACATTTATTGATATAACTTGTCTTAAAGAATTTTCAATTTTCAAACCATAGTAAATATCCAGGTCATTAACAAACAACAAGAGCCTTATTCTACTAAGAGAGGCTGCCTACATAGATTGCAAGACCCCATTGGAATTGATATCAATCACAGTCCAAAGTCCATCCAAATGTTTTGGCTTTATTTAAAATATTTCTAATGTTTCCTTCGCTCAATTTAACGAACTCAATCCTTAACCTCAACTACTTTGGGGGGTAAGGGGATCAAAGTCCTTTAAAAAGTTATATTTTATTTCCAAGTATATCAAAATCATGAACGAAGTATATATGACTATACAAACTGAATCTGTCATTGAAAAAAGGTTTAAAAAGTCATTACAAGAAATGTAACCTGAATAGGAAGTTAGATCTTTGGCACCATTCTGGATAAGATATTTTCATTCTTTGGGGATATGCACATACAACAACAACAACAACAAGCCTTTATCCCACTTGCCAAAAATTATAAATGCACAATTAACACTCTGCTGTGCACTACAGATAAATCAATAACAAAGTTTAGACGTTACATTTCATTAACATAAATCCACGCTATTTAAGTTAGCTAAGGCCTAAGCCTTTGTCTAGGACACCCAATGAATTCATCCGATAAAGGAAAATTGCACATGATCAATGTCAAACCTGATATAATTTATTTGTCGTAACACCACAATAAGTTTCTAGTAGATATGCAAGTGATTTCTGTGGTTTCGACAGCACCTCACATGCCTGCATTACAGGAACACAAATTGATAGAATAGAAGGTGCCAATCCGTGGGACAATGCAAACTTTTCTTGTCACAATCATGCTTAGAAAGACCTTTCTACAAGGTGCATAGCATGTAAGACACATTCCAGTAACATTGTAGTTAGCTCACCTTTGAAGTATCAAAGAGATTAACAACATAGATATGAAAATCTCGCTGGAGCCAGACAATGTCGTTATCAGCTCCATGAAACACCTATTCACAAATTTTAACATGATTAAACACAGAAATACTAATCAACTGTAGGATGTTCTCTGTGAATAACAAAATCTAATCCCAAGAGAACCAGGCATCATCCACACACTTACATATGTTAATGACCACTCTATCTAAAATGTTTAAGCCATTAGGTGAAAGCAGGGGATATGTTTTATTACAATCTCCAAAACAAACACGCTTGTGTGCGCACTGAAAAAGAAGAGATATAAACAATTCTCACAGTTTATTACCAAAACAAGTGTAAATCCAGCTGTCACAAAACTCAATTGTTTAAGTAGATAATTTTTTTTCATCAAAAGAGGGAGCAAGGTAAAACTATATACAGATAATTTCATGCAGATAAAATTGAATACGTGTTTCCCACTTCTATATAGTTAACCATTCTAGAAACGTGACAGAAATAACTTACATACTTTACAAATTAAAGGATTTGCAAAGACTGGGCGAAGAATGCCCATTAAATCATGCAGGGCAATTGTGTCGATCAAATAATCCTCCTGCGGAGTAGAAATCTGCTTGATGAAAAAAAAATTTATGACTATCAAAGATTGATCCCAAAAAATAATTAGCTCATAAAAATAGTTACCAGATAAGAAAACTTAAGACGAGCATAAATTGACCTGAATTAATGCTGTGAAGCCAAGAAAAGATCGCAAAGTATGTTGTTCTGTGTCCACAGCAAAGAACCTCTCTTTATTTAATACATTGACAAGTTCCTTTAATTGCAACTCTGTATCAATCCAGACATATGTATCTTTCTTCTTCAGTTCCTCAATCTCAGTACTGAATTCAAATTGAGGCTGAGGGTTTTTCAATAATGCTGTAATCTCTGCCTCAAAAGGATGGGAATTTGAAGGCCTCTCTGTGAAAACAACAATAAACTTAGCTTGATCAAAATATACGTTGACCAGGTAACCACCTGATGCAGCAAAATTGATATTCCCTTCATGATATTTGCGCAGATAAAGAATGAGGTTCGAATACTTATCAACTACTATGCACCTGAGTTTGCTGGCATCGAATTTTCTACCACGTACAATTGACCACTCGTAGCTCCGTTCAACACAATGTCTAGAACATCGTCGTTTAAATGTTTCTAAAAACATAAAATTTAACCCTTTTCTGGATCATTTTCATTTAGCAGAATCAATGGAATGAAACTGTAAAGTACTTTTTTGTCAATAATTTCCAATAGCCTTACCAAATTCTGCCATTTATGCACTGATTGCGCATTTACTTGACCGGACCAGGCTATTTTAAAAATTTCATAATAGTTTCAACTGATGAAAAAAGTCTATTGCTTTCCATCCAGAAATGCTACTTGAAAGATTTAATCCCATACAAAAATAAGAAAAGTAAGTTCAAAAATTATGTCTCCCGTACAATTTCTGACTTAGCATCAGTATTAAAAGACAATTTTTTTATGAAGAAACACATAAATTTTATCTATGACTCCTTCAGTTTCCTGGTACCAAATAAAGTGACGCCATTGTACATACAATGAGTAAGAAATGTACCATCGTTAGAGTCATTGAGCTTCAAGTGCTTGAACACAGTGTACGAGTTATCGGCTAATACCCGCTTAAAAGTACACTGTGGCTTTGGTTCAGCATGTAAGTAACACAAACTCCGCGGACACCTCCGCTTACGCCGACTCTGGTAGCGAGCAGTAAAATAGATTGACACAGCTGCCAAAGAAGCAATCGCAAACGCCACCCGCACCTTGTATCCGTACTCCATATTTCTCTTTTCTTGTTCTTCTTCGTCTTCTTTGACCCAGCTCTAACCAGCTCCGGTGTTTGTTCACAATACAGAGGAGACCCACTATCGGAGGCGGTGACTGTTGCCGCCGCGGCGCTCGTGGGGTGGGCTCATGTTATGTGGTGAAGCAACATTTTGACATCTATTCTGGCGAAAAAAAAGAAAAAACCCAAGAAGAAGAAGAAGGAAGTTGAGATCAGAGAGTCAGAAGCCCAGTTAGTTGATTTGTTCGGCATACAAAGCCCAGTCAGTTTAAGAGACTCAGATGAACGAGGGACTAAATTCTATACTCAACCTCTTCATTAAATAATTAAATGAGAAAAAAAATTCTAATTAAATCAAGACATACAAATATTTTATCTTATAAAAAATTCTTGTGATTAATATTATTAATAGATGAAAATTCAGTTTTCTTAATTTAATTGAATAAGAATATATTGAGCCTGTAAGGTGAAATATCTATAAGTCTTACTCTGATTAAATAATCAATGTGAAAAAAAAAAAAGGATTTGGCCGATGCATTGGATGTCACATTAATAATGAAAAATGTGATACTTTGAGAAAATGAAAGAATATGTATAAAGAAAACAATTTCGTTTATCAACTCGGCTTGGGGACCTAAATCACATGCTGAAGTATGAAATTTGGCTGATTCATTGGATATCACATTAATTCTGCTTTCCAGGAACATGAAGCAAGCAAGCAGAACATTAGGGCTTGTCCAAAACAATTTTTGTCTTATTATTATGAGAATTGGTATTTTGTAAAACTCATTTTGAGAGCAAAAAAATAACAAAAACATGTGTATTTGGCATTCTCATTTGTTTTTCAGAAAAATAATTACAAAATGCCCAAAAAATATTTTCCTTTTTCTATTGTTTAGAATAAGATTTGGCTTTTTTGCCCTTCAAAAGAGTTTTAAAATATACGTAGATTTTTTTTTGGTTTTGGGAAACAAAAAATTGATCCAAAAACAAGTTGTTAAACAAGCCTTTAATCACCATGCTCTTATTTTTTTTCGCTTGTAGATAAATTATGATTTATGAAGCGAATGCAATGTTACAGGTAAAATGAACCTGAAAGGTGTGGTGCCTCTAGGATGCCGATTTTTGGCCCCCCGAGGTGTCTTATGTTTTCAGGCAAATTAACGTTGCTGTAAATCATGTTATCATGTTAAGTTATATTAACCTCTATCTAGTTAATCAAAGCACCTGGCGGTGTGGTTCGGGAAGGAGAGGCAAGGAGAGATAAGAGATCGTGATATCTCTGAACCGGTTCAATGAGTGAGATTGGCATTAGACGAGTCAAGAAAATATATAAAGAGCCCTTTTAGGCCTTTACAAAAGCAAGCGTGTGGACACACGTCCACCGCTCCAATTTGAGGCGTAAGAGAAGGTTTCAAGAGCTTCCCGAGAATTGAGACGTGTGTATGAAACTGACACATCAAATTACCTTCCATGAGCCTAAAGAAGCTATCTACTGAAAATTGCTCTCTACTTTCTCCGCAGCGGCAGATGGTAACTTTACTTTCAACTCACTCCATAATTATTACTTTACATGAAACTCTATTTCTCCTTCATACCCACAATTTAATTTACGATCTGTTCTCACTAATTTAACTAATTTAAACATGCTTGCAAGTATCTTATTCGGAAGAGGCAGATAAAAGAAAGACAATGGATGAAGACGACATCTTAAAATTAAGCTCTTAGATCTCGACTTATATTTCGCATGAAACTGGCAAGAGAATTATGCAGGAATAAATTTAAAAAGTAGGTAGAATAGTGATGTAAGATTGTTAATCAACCCCTTGTGATTAGTTGAACTACATGTATAAATGCAGCCTTTTGGGTTTGGTCAGTAAGAACGCGATGAAGCAGAGCAGCACGGGTTTCTTCATGGATTAGTATGATTAACTCAGGAGAGAAAAGTTAAGTGCTAATAATTTCATTGAACAAAATCATAGAGGCCCCGCCATGAGCACACTCAACCATGTTTATGAAACTTGGTTGGGTCCTAGCCTAGTTGAAGTGGAACAAGTCAAAGTACATATAGTCTCTCACCACCAACCACCTTTGCTAAGCTCATATGTTAGCTAGGCTAGGTATTATATCTCCTAGGCATAATCTAATTTTTCTGGAAGGAGAGAAAGTACAGCCTTTTATTTGATTCGGAAATATGAACCATCATGCTCTCATGAATGGCTTGTTCATTTTGCTAACAAAAAGGTGCCGTTATTATTGCATAGGAAAAAAAAAAAAAAAAACCAATCACCTGATTAAAGTGGAGGCTTTTTATTGCAAAAGATTGATTTACACCGTTCGTGTGCGTGAGAGTGAGATGAGAGGGAGAGGGAGGGGGAGAGTTTTGACCTTTCGATTAGATAAAGAACAAAGAATGAGCAACAGAGGCATCTAGTTTGAGTCGGCGTGGGGCAAATGGGAAGTTGCTTTAAAAGACCAAACGAACGAGTGAGAAGGAACACTGTTACCCCAGAGTCCACAAGCAACTCTTAAAACTGGGAATTGAGAATGCGGTCTCTTATTTTTCTCTATAATAATAATTTCTACATTACAAATGTCATTTTTTATGTATCTTTTGCTTATAAGATTTTGGTAATTTTATTATTCCATTACACGACTCGATTGATTTGAATGATATCTTTTGCAATCAAATTTCACACTCTTTAGAATTTTAATACGTTCAGTATATACTAATGTGAAGCTGGCCTGTCTTTTTAAAACTTGAAGAAAATTGAAACTTCAATGCAATAAAGGAGCCCTTGATTGTGAATACCGTATTTTATCCTGACATTTTTTATTTTAATAATAAAATCAAAAAATATAAAAAAATAATAATACAAAAATGAAATTTAATCCCTTTTTAAGATTATATTTTCAAAAAATAATAATAATGATAATTTAACAAAGTCAAAAAAGAAAGGTTAAATCTTGAAAAAAGAAAATCTCTCCCAAATTATCTCAATCATTCAAGAATATTGGGAGTCTATTTTTGAGAGTTAACTTTTCTCTCCTCAATCCTATTTTCATTTAAATACATATCTTGTGTGTGTGTGTGTGTGTTAATCAGAACCATTAATCAAAAAAATAAAAAAAAAAGAAAAAGCTGGACAAAACGCTGATAGAGTCAGCGTTTCATCACAGACAGTCAGGCACACACGAGCAGAAACTTGCGCACACACACGAGAGAGCAGAAGGAAAAACGCACAGCAAAGAAACGCAGAAACAACAAAGAAACACAGGCACAGAGACACAGAAACAAAAACAAGCACACACTTTTTGCCATGTAGCAGGAAAAAGGACAGAAATAGCAGAACACACGAACACATGAGCCACAGACGCCGAAAGAATGAGAGGCAACAGACACAAAACCCAGAAGAAGCAAAACATAGCAGAAAGAACAGCAAGCAACCGGAACACGTACGCTTATGCTTTCGGCTGGCAGGAGAAAAGAAACAGAACCAGGGACGAACACATGCATGAAGGAAATGGCAGAGAAAGCAAATGGGACGGCACAGAAAATAGAGACAGAAATGCAGAAGAAGCAGAGCAGGAGAGTAATGATTCACGTTGTCCATTCTCTATATAAGGAGAAGACGGGGACAGCGAAGGGAGAAGAAGCAACGTAAAAAAAAATAGAGGAAGAGGGACTGAAGGACGTGAAGCAGATAGCTAAGACGAGAAGGAGAGAGAGCTGAGATGAAAACGAAGGAGGAGGAGTCTAGAGAGGAAGAGAATATGGTGACAGGGAAGAGAGAGCTCGGACAAAGGAGAGAGAGGACCGAAAGACATAAAACAGAGGCTGAGACGGAGGAGAGGGCAAAAACAGAGACAAGAGAGGATGTGATGGAGGAGCTTTTCTCTAGAAAAGCTGAGAAGGAGACGAGGGAGACCAAAAGCTGAACGAAAAAAAGATAGAGACAGAGAGAGGTGAAATAGAGGTTGAGGGAGAAAGATTATTCCGGATGGAGAAAAGTAGAGAAAACGAAGAAGAGGAGGGCGGTTTTTAGCTAGAGAAAGGAAGGAGAAATGTACGCACAGAAAAAACAGAAAACAGAGCACGAAAGAACCGAAGGAGAAGAGAGAGGTTGAGAGAGAGAGAGAACAGATACGAAGGGAGGAGAAAAGGAGTCGGCCGAGAAACCAGCACCGGAGAGTTTTCTGAAAGGAAAAGAAGAAAAGAGGCGGAGAGGAGAAAGAAGAAACAGAGACGGAGAGGAGAAAGAAGAGACTGAGACATGAAGGAGAATTTTCTGAAAACAAAGAAAACGAAGAAGAGGAAGAGATCAGAGAGGGAGGAGTGACAGGAGTAGTGAGACAGATCGGGACGTCCCATACACACAGGTTCTTGCTTCTGAATCCAAAATATTCATGTTTAATTTCTGTTTACTATTCCAAAATGGATTTCATGTTTAAATGTTTTGTCTCATATTTTTCAGCTCCCAAATGATTTCATTGCAATTGTCATATTTTTTTAAGAAAAGAGAGTTTGAAAAAGAAAAAATAAAGAAATTACAAATAATAATTTTTGCTTCCTATCATAGCTAAGCTAAATTTGATTATTAGGCACAATTTCATTTTAAATAGGGAATTAGTGTAATTGTTAAGCAAGGTCTTTAAGTGTGTGTATTAACATGTATGAGCATTATTTCTTTATCTCCATTAGTCCTAGGTCCTTTACTTGTTATTAATATTACTACACTCATATCATA